CCCTGTTCCACAGGGCTGCAGCTGTGGTGGACACGGTGCCTGCACAATCCCACCTTTACCCAACCCACAACACTCCCACCCCTCTGGGGTGATCCAGGGAAGAAGGGGGCTGGATGTCAGGACCCAGGGGTGCAGGATTTGGGGCTGGATGCAGCTCCACGTCAGACAGAAGGTGCAGGATTTGGGGCTGGATTCAGCTCCATGGCCAGGCTGCTCCCTCCCGGTCCTGCTGCCACCTCCCGCTGCTCCAGAAGGATGCAGCATTTTATCATCATCACCCTGTGAGGCTGACAGGCACCAGAATTAATGAGTTCCTCATCAGCACTCCCTCATTTAGCTCCCTCCCTCGGGGTTACACCCCCAGCAAGCACAGAGGGAACGGGGAGGGGGTTGTTTGCAGGGGTGAGAGTGCAGGACACAGGTGAACAAACACACCTGTGTGCCCAGCCAAGGCCTGGAGGGGTTTAAGGTGCCCATCCAGGTGGGTGAAGGGTTCCTGGGATGCCCTGAGCCATGGGGACATGGAGATCCTGCCCTGGCAGAGTGGCACGGGGACCTGGGCATAGCTGGCCTCCACATACCCCTCATTAAGATCTGCTGTTAATTACTGACACCAGCAGAAACACAGCATATGTGCCAAATGCAGGAGCTTCACCACCTGCAGGATTGACCCCATGGAAGCCAAGGAGCTGTGGGGCAGCAGCAGGACAGGGGGACACTGCCACCAGCAGCCTTTGTGTTGTGTCCCTCAGCAGCAGAGGCTTTGTGTGGCTTTGCTGTCCCCTGGGTGTCCCTCTGGCTGTCACCACACAGCAGAGCATGGAGGGATGAGACATTCCTGTCCTCTCTGTGCTGGCCTTTTTGGAATGGTGACATCCTGAAAAGGATTGGCCATCCCAAGGGGGGGTTTATTTGGCAGCAGAAAAGCTGTGAAACTGCAAAGCCTCCTTGAACTGCTGTCAAAACACATTTTCCTACCTGTGCCCTGCAGTGCCAGCTGGGATTTCAGCACATGGGGTGGCAGCCTGGGCATTGTCTGACCTGCAGGACTCATCCTGAGCGTGCCAGCCCAAGCCTGCAGTGTGGATATCACACCCATTTCTGTGAGCCCTGCAGAGATTGTATATGATAAGTATTTTGATTGTAAATAAATGACATTTGTGCGTTGTGACGACTTGAATGGAAAGAGGAAGGGAGGGAGGAGAACAGGATGAGAAGGGAACTCTGTAGCCATGATGTTCACCTTGACCCAGCCATGCCAGGCTCAGAAAACCTGGAAAAGAGCCCTGGAAGCTGCGTTGGGCAGTGACAGGCACGGTGGATCCTGAAACACCAGCTCAGAAGTGTGAACACTCCTCTGAAAGCCTGCTCGGGTGTGGTGTTTGGAGTAGCAGAGCTCCATCTAGCATTGGTGAGAACTGATGCTTCACCAAAGCTTTAATTCACAGCTGCTTTGTTGAGCCTTGGAGCTGTTCTGTCTGTCTGTCTGTCAGCAGCCTCAAACCACCAGAAACACCGAGTTTTTTAGAGGTTTTTAGAGTTTTTTAGAGCCTGAGCTTGTCTGTGCCCTCCCACCCTGCACCCAGGGCAGGACACAGCCCCACTGTGAAAAACACACATTCATTTGGTTTTAAAATTTTTGAAAGTTTAATAGTCATAAAATGGTTATAAAAATAGTAATACAATTAGAGTAATAATAATTTGGACAATTTGAATTAGGACAATATGAGACAATAGAAACAAAGAGTTAGGGACACTGTGGGTACCTTTTTCTGGGCAAAATTAGCCCAAATAAGGACAGAGTTAACAGAGGATTAACCCTTAAAAGCAACAGCCCGTTGCATATTCATACACCTCATACATGATGCATAAATTCCATTCAAACACAGGATTCTGTCTGGTCAGTGTCAACTTCTTCCTCTGAATCCTGACTGCATCATCCTGCCCAAGCAAGGTGGGAAGAAGTTAATTTCTCCTGATAATGGGGCAATAAATTCTCTTTCTCTGAAAGATTCAGGTGTCCTGTGACTGCCATCTCAGTGAGAGTCCTTTCTTTAGAAGTAGCCTACACAGCACAGTTTCTATTTTAACATTTTGTTATAACCTAAAACTACATTTAACACACTACTTAAGAGAATTAATACAGCATTACTTTCTAACACAGCACATATAATATTTATTTGAATATTTGTGACAAGCCAATCATAAAATACACATTTTTCACTCCCCTTTCCCAGGCAGAATCAGTCCTTTAGCAGTACTGACACCTCCTAGCAACACTGCTTTTTAACCCATGTAAACTTTTAAAATCTACAATCTGTTGTGGCTGAGCTGCATCAAAAAAAAAAAAAAAGAAAGAAAAAAAAATGGATTTGCCCTTTATCTCAGGGCTCCAAAGCTTTTCCAAGAAGGAGAACTGCTTACCAGGCAGGGCACAGGTGGAGGAGAGAAAGGAGGGCAAGATTTAGGGCCAGATCAACCCCAGATTCAGCCAAAGCCACTTCACCCATGTGGGATTTGTTGTCTCTGTCCACAGAGCAGCAATTGTCCAGGAGCTGCTGTGGGAGTGTCCTGACAAATCACTGCCAAACACCTGCAGAGCCTGAACCACCTGGAATTCCACTGCCCTTCGGGCTTTTTGAAAATCTCAGAATACTGAATGTCAGGCACTAAAATCTCTGATTTAGGATGATGGTTTCAGCACCAGGGGTGGATGATGTGCTGCTTTCTGAGCCTGGTCATTCTGAAGGCAGAAATCGATGTCCTGGGCAATGGAGGTGTTTCCTGCCAGGTGTTTCACTGCTCCCTCAGGGAACTGCAGCTGCTCGAGGAGACTCAGCCTGGAGCTCAGTGCAAGCACTAAATGGAGAAGCAGAAACGGGGATTACAATGAGTGGGGATCTCCCCACATCTTAACCCAAAACCCCAAGCCTTGAGCCGAACCTCAGGCCTTGGCTCAAACCCTCAACCTCTCTGTTTTTGTGGTGACAGAACGCCTGAAGGCACTGCTGGGAGCAAGGCAGAAATCATCAGTTTTTCTGAAGCTAGAGACGAGGTTACTCTTTTTTATTGAACAAACAGCATCTGCAAACTGTCAGTCCTTTGAGAAGAGCCAGACAGCTCCGAGCAAGGCAACAAAGGGCTGCTGAAGTGCTTTGGTTCTCAACTCGAGGGCCACCACCACTTGAGAAGCACTTGATAACACTTTGCTTCCCGAGCTCAGGAGCGTGAGCAAAAACCCAGCATGGAGCCAGCTGCCAGGGTGGAGAGAAAAATCAGGGGTGGAGAGGCTGCTCCGGAGCCTGAGGCTGCTGTGGGCACAGCCAGAGGCAGATCTGGGCACAGGCGTTGGCAGGAGCTGGGTGATGCCCCACGGGACCCATCAAAAGGTGACAAATGCCCCTGTAAACCAAGTCGCTGCACACCCCAAGGATTTTTCATAAAATATGTTTTTGATATATTTTATGAAAAATCCTTTTGCCAGGATTTTTTCCTCCTGAAAAGCTGAGAGGCCTCAGGAACAAAATATAAACAATAATTATCTCCTGCTGTGGAATGCAACAGGTGCATCTTTGATTGGTTTCATGTGGTTGTTTCTACTTGATGTCCAATCACAGGTCCAGCTGTGTTGGGACTCTGGTCGGTCACAAAATTTTATCATTCCTTTCTCCTTTCTCTTTTTCTTTAGTATAGTTGTAGTATATAATTTTATTTTAATATATCATAGAATAATAAATCAGCCTTCTGAAACACAAAGTCAAGATTCTCATCTCTTCCCTCGTCCTGGAGACCCTCAAACAGCACCACAGGGCTCAGCCAGGAGTCCCTGAGGGTTCAGGGGGTCCCTGAGGGGCTGTGGGGATGGAGAGGAGCTCCATTCACTTCAGGAATTCCTGGAGATGGGTTCCTTCCTTGTGCTGTGTGAAAAAATAATATTTTTATTATTGGCTTTTCACAAATATTCTAATGAATATTATATGTGTTGTGTTAGAAAGTGATGCTGTGTTAATTCTCTTAAGTAGTGTGGTAAATATAGTTTTAGGTTATAACAAAATGTTAAAATAGAAACGATGCTATGTAGGATACTTTTTTTAAAGAAAGGACTCACACTGCGATAGCAGCCAAAGGACACCTGAATCTTTCAGAGAAAGAGAATTTATTGCTCTATTATCAAAAGAAACTAACTTCTTCCCACCTTGCTCAGCTCTGAAGACACCTCAGGATTCAGAGGAAGAAGTTGACACTGACCAGACAGAATCCTGTATTTGAATGGAATTTCTGCATCATCCATGAGGTGTATGAATATGCAACAGGTCATTGTTTTTAAGGGTCAATCCTCTGTTAACTGTGTCCTTTTTCAGGCTTATTTTGCCCAGAAAAAGGTACCTGGACAGTCCATAACTCTTTGTTTTTATTGTCTCATATTGTCCTAATCCAAACTGTCCAAATTATTATTACTCTAATTGTATTACTATATTTATAACCATTTTATTACTATTAAACTTTTAAAATATTAAAACAAGTGACTGGCGTTTTTCACAGGAGTGATCGGTGAGGATCCCTCAGAGTGTTTCCTAGAGATACCAACTTCGTTATACCGGAAGGCCGGGGGTTGTGAGCTCGGTTTTCCTTTGACCTTTGCGGTCCCCGCTGTGTCCCTGGGCCCTTGAACCGCCTGTGGGACCCGGCCCAGGGGAGCGGTACCGGCCCCACGGGGCCTCACAGCGGCGGTCCCGGCAGCGACCACACGGCCCGGCCGGTACTCAGGGAGCATTGCTGCGGGTATCGGCAGCGTGCAGCCTCCACTCCCTTCCCTCCGTGCTGCTCCGCAGGGACAGACAAGGAAAAACAAGGAGAGACAAAACCACAGTCCAACCAAACCAGCACCGAGCCCGGCCCGACGCGGACTGCGGGCCTCGAACCGGAGCCCCTCAGACCGCCCCTGCCCTGGCCCCGCCCCCGAGATCCCAGCCAATCAGCGGCCGCCGCCGCATCCGGGGCCCGCGCCCCCTGCCGCTCGCGCTCGGCCATGGCGGAGGTGAGCGCGGAGCCGCCGCCGGGGTCGCGCCGGGCCCGGGGCCGCTCCCGGCCGGGCGGGCGGGAACACCGGGAGCGCCGAGCCGCGCCCGCCCGGAGCCGCCGTCCTGCGGCAGCCAGCGCGGTGATGGGCCGGTGTGGGCTACCGGGGCGGGGGCCCTCGGGCCGGGGGGACGCCGAGGCCCTGGGCGGCAGCGGGCCGAGGGGCGGGGGCGGCGGGGCCGGGCACGGGAAGAGGCTCCTGGGCGGGAGCGGGCGGCGCCGGCGCGGGGACCCCGCGGCCTGAGGGCGGCGGAGAGCGGCGTGAGGGGCCGGGGGCTGCGGGAAAGGCCCCGGGGCAGAGCGGAGCGGGAGCACCGGGGCTGCGGCCCGGCAGGACCCGGTTTGGGGTGGCTGGAGCCGGGCTCGGGGGTGCGGAGCTGATGGAGGGGGCTCTGAGGTGAGAGGCGGCCTGAGCAGCGAGGTCGGGATGCTGGGAATGGCAGAGGGTGGAGAAGGTGCCGGGAAATGTTGGTTTGGGTGGCCGGGATGGTTCTCACCACCTTTGGGTGCCCGGGATGGTTCTCACCACCTTTGGGTGCCCAGGATGGGTCTCACCACCTTGCCCAGGGGCCAGAAGGCAAAGGGGACCAGGTGGGGACTCCCCACTGCCCTCTCCCATTGCCATGTTGTGTTTGCCTTGGTGTCTTGTGCTGAAATGTTTCTGCCATTGCTCTTTGAGCTGGTGATGCCCATCAAGCCTTGCCATGTCCCTCAAACATCCTTGACCTGTTGTGATGGTTGTTGTGACACATGCACGCTTCATTTCTGTGGCATGACCCTCGTGGTGGCCACAACGTGGAGCAAGACTTCCAAGGGGAAGACTTTGAGGTACTCTGTGACAACATCTTGTCCCAAGGCAGGGCTTTTCTTCCAGGATATTTCAGCATTCTGCAGGAGGGCTTCTCTTCCAGGATATTTCAGTGTTCTACATGAGGAAGGTCTGTTTGCCCACCCACCATGCTTTGGCCTTTGGTGGAGCACCAAGCTTGTTGCATCTGCTTGTGCCAAAGTGTTGTCTGGGCACGTTTTTGGGTCAGAGTGGTGCCTCAGCACCCTACAGAGCTCTACAGACATCCAGGAGCTGTCATTGTCTCTTGGGTGAGGTTTGGTACAGGTGTGGTGGGACGCTGATCTTCCTGAGCAGTGCACAAGGTGGGCTGTGTGTGGTGTCATCTGTTCATTCTTTGGTTTTTCAGAGACAGAACTTGAAGGACAAATCTGCTTCCATCCCTGGCTACATCTGGGGTTTGTAGAAAATGTCCCCATGTCCAAGGAGTGTGCACAAACAGGAAGGTTTCTCACTGAATCTGAAATATTCAGATTTAGACTGGCTCAAGAAACTATGTTAGTTATTGAAGGGTGGCACTGGAAGGGGGAATTTTGGTTTTTTCCTCACTTTTTTGCAAGAGTGGTTTCAGTCTCTGCACAGGTGTGGTGGGACCCTGATCTTCCTGAGCAGTGCACGAGGTGGGCTGTGTGTTGTGAACTGTTCATTCTTTGGTTTTTCAGAGACAGAACCTGCAGGACAAATCTATTTCCATCCCTGGCTACAGCTGGGGTTTGTGGAAAGTGGCCCCATGGCCAAGGAGTGTGCACAAGGCAGAGCAAGCAGGAATTTTCTCACTGAATCGGAAATATTCAGATTTAGACTGGCTCAGGAAGCTATGTTAGTTATTGAAGGGTGGCAATGGAAAGGGGAATTTTGGTTTTTCCTCACTTTTTTGCAAGAGTGATTTCAGTCTGGAAGTTTTCCTCAGGGTAGGCACAATTTGCCTCACCCTGGGAAAAAACTTTGTCAGGGCTGAAGCTCAGGCTCTGCCTCTGTGTGTCCTAAATGATGGCTGAGCTCCATTCCATGTGCTCAAAGCCTTGAGTCCACACTCAGGAGGGAGTGCAGGAGTCACCCAGAAATACAAACATGAGAGTGAGTAGTTACAACCTCAGTGTAACCTCTGAGAGGAAAGTTACACATACTCCTATGCCCGAGCAGCAGAAGCTGGCAGGAGGAAAGCAATGCTGGGGATGGGAAAGTGAAATTAAATTAATTTAATCTCCTTTTTTGCCCCCCAAGATTAAATGCCTCATGAGGATAGGAGCCAATTTCCAGGATTGTGCACTGGGAGAATAACTGGAGAATAACCCATGGAATCCCTCACCAGCAGAAAGAGCAGTGACACACAGAACAGAGCCAGAACTGTTCTCTGTGTTTCTGGTGAATGCCAGGCTCTTGCATTTCAAACCCAAACATCACACAGGAGGCAGAAGTGTTGGGCTGCACCTACCTCACCTTCAGCCCAAGAGTAACTCCACATCCCATGGCATTGCTAATCAGGGCAATCAAAATATTCTGTTATCAAATGCATTTTTAAGCCTTTCTCTTCTATTCCTTTGACTCTTGTTTCTTCTGGATTTGTGAGTAGTCTGAGGGATTGTTCTGTTCCATGTGTGTTCAGATTTGGGCATGGAATGGGTATTTGCTTTGTCTGATGTTTGATTTGAAGTGTCAGGCTGCACCCACCTCACCTTCAGCCCAAGAGTAACTCCACATCCCATGGCATTGGTGATCAGGGCAATCAGAAATATCAGCTGCATTTTTAAGCCAAGCCTGCCTTTCTCTTCTATTCCTTTGGTTCTTGTTTCTTCTGGATTTGTGAGTAAAATCTGAGGGATTTTTCTGTTCCATGTGTGTTCAGGTTTGGGCATGGAATGGGCAATCAGAATATTCTGTCATCGGTTGCATTTTTAAGCCAGGCCTTCCTTTCTCTTCTATTCCTTTGGCTCTTGTTTCTGTCATCTTTATGGATTTGTGAGTAATCTGAGGGATCGTTCTCTTCCACATGTGTTCAGATTTGGGCATGGAATGGGCCCTTTGCTTTGGCTGGATGTTTGATTTCAAGTGTCAGGCTGCACCTACCTCATCTTCAGCCCAAGTAACTCCACATCCCATGGCATTGCTAATCAGGGAAATCAGAAATATTCTGTCATCAGCTGCATTTTTAAGCCAAGCCTGCCTTTCTCTTCTATTCCTTTGGCTCTTGTTTCTGTCATCTTATGGATTTGTGAGTAATCTGAGGGATTGTTGTGTTCCATGTGTGTTCAAATTTAGGCATGGAATGGGCCATTTGTTTTGTCTGTCACTTGTTTCTTGTTCCCTCAGCCCCAGCAGAGCAGTGCTGGTTATTCCATGGTGATTCCATTGCTCTGCTGCTCTGTTACTGCTTTGGAGCATTAATTCTTGATTATTTATGGAATTGTCACACTGTTGTAGTGGCCAATCCTCCTCCTTTCAGCACCTGGTTATTAACAGGAGATCTCATTGTTCCTGAGGTATTTTTGAGACCTTTTCAACAGCTTCAATCTTTGTTTTCAGAATCTTTATTGACCCCAGGCAAGGAGGTGCCATTGATCCACAGATCATTGCCTGAACAAATCTGAGTTCTGCAGGTTCTCCAAGAGCTGGAGGGAGTCAGGGCACACCACACCCCTTCCAAGAAACTGTGTTTGTTTGCTTGGAAGGATTTATCCAAGAGGGTTTTGTGCTTGGTCACATTCCAGCAAAGCCCAACAAAGGCACATTGACACTTTCCTTACTTGCAGAGACATTTCCTGGTATGACCATCCTCAAAATGGAGCCTGTCCCCTTCTCCTTTCATCATCCCATAACTTCTCCCCTCTCTTTTTGTGGGCATGGTTGCAGGGCTCTGTCTGGGGGGATTAATTTGGGGGATGATGGACCGGAGGCATCTTCTTGGTTATTATGGAATTTCCAGTCTGTGTGTTGGTGTCTGAAGGAACTCACTCAGAACTCGCAGTCTGTGCTGGCTTTTTGTGGTGAATACTTTGCTTTGTTGTTAGAGGATAGATTTTAATGTGAAGTTTAATTTTAAATTGTGAGAGGCTCCTGTGGAAGGCTGTGAATGCCCTGGTTCCAGCTGAATAAGTGAGGAGTGGTGGTGCACAGCTGAGCTTGTTGATGGCGGAGTATCCCACAGAGATGTCACTGGGGACTGGGAGACTGACTCTGGGATTTTCTTCTGCACTCAGATGCTGTCAGTTCCCCCAAAGCTTTGCTTGTTTACCTGTTTGCTCCCTGCTAGGCTGAACTTGATGAGCAGCATTTCCAGGCACAGCAGATGTTCTGTCTGGGTTGTTTTCCTCAGCCCCTGCTGCTGCCTGAACTTGTGACCTGGCACCAAATGCCACCTGCAGGTGCCTGTTCTGGGGTTGTGCCTCTCCCACCTCACCTGTGCCACTCCTGGTCCTTCCAGACTCCTTCTCTGCTGTTTGTTTGCTCCTGGGTGCAGTGAAGCATCAGGGAGATGTGGCTGGCTGCTCTCTGAAGGGTCAATCCCTAAAAATGCTCTCAGACAGAGTGTGTGTCTTTAAAATGACAGCTGAGGGTCTAGATCCTTCATTTAAGTGAAGATGTAAACCACAAAGGTCTGAGATCTCAAACTGGTGTGGGGGTAAGAAGTGATCAGAGTATTTCTGGACCTTCCAGGCTCCTTCTCTGCTGTTTCTTTGCTCCTGGCTGCAGTGAAACATCAGGGAGAAATCAGGATGTTGTGGCTCCCTGAAGGATCAGTCCCTAAAAATGCTCAGACACAGTGTGTGTGTTTAAAATGACAGCTGAGGGTCTAGATCCTTCATTTAAGTGAAGATGTAAACCACAAAGGTCTGAGATCTCAAACTGGTGTGGGGATAAGAAGTGAGCAGAGTGCTCCTGGTCCTTCCAAGCTCCTTCTCTGCCTGCTCTTTGCTCCTGGGTGCTGTGAAGCATCAGGGAGAAGCCAGGGTGTTGTGCTGGCTGCTCTCTGAAGGATCAGTCCCTAAAAATGCTGTGCTCAGACAGCATTTGTGTTTAGAATAGCAGCTGAGGGTCCAGGTCCTTTATTTAAGTGAAGATATAAACCACAAAGGTCTGAGATCTCAAACTGGTGGGGGGATAAGAAGTGAGCAGAGTATTTCTGGTCCTTCCAGGCTCCTCTGCTTTCTCTTTGCTCCTGGGTGCAGTGAAGCATCAGGGAGATGTGGCTGGCTGCTCCCTGAAGGGTCAATCCCTAAAAATGCTGTCAGACACAATGTGTGTGTTTAAAATAACAGCTGAGGGTCTAGATCCTCCTTTTAAGTGAAGTTGTAAACTACAAAGGTCTGAGATCTCAAACTGGTGGGGGGATAAGAAGTGAACAGAGTATTCCTGATCCTTCCAGACTTCTCTGCCTGCTCTGCTGTCTCTTTGCTCCTGGCTGCAGCGAAACATCAGGGAGAAATCAGGATGTTGTGGCTCCCTGAAGGATCAGTCCCTAAAAATGCTCAGACACAGTGTGTGTGTTTAAAATGACAGCTGAGGGTCTAGATCCTTCATTTAAGTGAAGATGTAAACCACAAAGGTCTGAGATCTCAAACTGGTGTGGGGATAAGAAGTGAGCAGAGTGCTCCTGGTCCTTCCAAGCTCCTTCTCTGCCTGCTCTTTGCTCCTGGGTGCAGTGAAGCATCAGGGAGAAGCCAGGGTGTTGTGCTGGCTGCTCTCTGAAGGATCAGTCCCTAAAAATGCTGTGCTCAGACAGCATTTGTGTTTAGAATAGCAGCTGAGGGTCCAGGTCCTTTATTTAAGTGAAGATATAAACCACAAAGGTCTGAGATCTCAAACTGGTGGGGGGATAAGAAGTGAGCAGAGTATTTCTGGTCCTTCCAGGCTCCTCTGCTTTCTCTTTGCTCCTGGGTGCAGTGAAGCATCAGGGAGAAATCAGGATGTTGTGGCTCCCTGAAGGATCAGTCCCTAAATGCTGTGCTCAGACACAGTGTGTGTGTTTAAAATGACAGCTGAGGGTCTAGATCCTCCTTTTAAGTGAAGTTGTAAACTACAAAGGTCTGAGATCTCAAACTGGTGGGGGGATAAGAAGTGAACAGAGTATTCCTGATCCTTCCAGACTTCTCTGCCTGCTCTGCTGTCTCTTTGCTCCTGGCTGCAGCGAAACATCAGGGAGAAATCAGGATGTTGTGGCTCCCTGAAGGATCAGTCCCTAAAAATGCTCAGACACAGTGTGTGTGTTTAAAATGACAGCTGAGGGTCTAGATCCTTCATTTAAGTGAAGATGTAAACCACAAAGGTCTGAGATCTCAAACTGGTGTGGGGGTAAGAAGTGAGCAGAGTGCTCCTGGTCCTTCCAAGCTCCTTCTCTGCTGTTTCTTTGCTCCTGGGTGCAGTGAAGCATCAGGGAGAAGCCAGGGTGTTGTGGCTGGCTGCTCCCTGAAGGATCAATCCCTAAAAATGCTGTGCTCAGACACAATGTGTGTGTTCAGGATAACAGCTGAGAGTTTTATTTAAGATGTAAACCACAAAGGTCTGAGATCTCAAACTGGTGGGGGGATAAGTAGTGAGCAGAGTGCTGGAGGTAAAATAGATGGAATGGAAACACATGGATTGAGAGAAGGTGGAGAGAGGAGGCCACAAAAAACTGTTCAGTGCCTGCTGAGCTCTTTTGAACAGCAGTTTCTAACACTGCCCTCTGGGGCTTTGGGTGACTTTTGTTTTAGACTTAAATTGAACTTGCTGGTGGGGTGAAGTGGGTGGAAAGGTGGTGTGTTTTAAGGAGAGCTGTCTCAACCATGTTTTTCTCTTTTCCTGAAGGCCTCTGTTGGCCGGCAGAGCCCCAGGGTGGTTCCATACCCAGCCCGTGGTCTATGTCCTGGAGAGCCCTCCCTTCAGAGCGCTGCAGGTACCTCCAGCCCCTCCTCCCTCTGCCTCCTGCTCTGCTTTCCAGAGGAAACAAAGTTTCTGTGATAATTTCCCTTCTCCTTGCAACATCTCCCCAGCCTGTTGGTTGATTCCCATGCTGTTTGACAGAGGAGGAAAGTGTTAAAGATGCCAAAGATCCTACAGGTGTCCATTTGGCCATTCTTCTTCTTGAGTAAGGGGTGATTACCCTTTTCACCTCCCCATTTTTTCCTCCCTTTTATTGATGTATCCCAAGACCCCTTCCCAGATTTCACAGGATTTATCCTCATTGCAAGCATGGCAGGTAAAGCCCTGGCCAAGGTGCAATGGCACTGGCAGCAATCCCAGAAAAGCATCTCATGGGGCTGCAAGGAGGGAGAAGGGAGAGAGGGAAATCCATAAAAGTGGGAGATAAAAAGGAATATTTGGCCATTCTTAAGTAAGGGGAGATTACCTTGAGTAAGGGGTGATTACCCTTTTCCGCCCATTTTTCCTCCCTTTTATTGATGTATCCCAAGACCCCTTCCCAGATTTCACAGGATTTATCCTCAAGTGTGGTCATGGCAGGTATGGCAGAAAGCATCTCATGGGGCTGCAAGGAGGGAGAAGGGAGAGAGGGAAATCCATGAAAGTAGGAGATAGAAAGGAATATTTGGCCATTCTTGAGTAAGGAGTGATGCCAAAGCACCTACAGGTGTCCATTTGGCCACTCTTCTTCTTAACTAAGGGGAGATTACTTTGAGAAAGGGATGATTACCTTTTCCCCCCATTTTTCCTCCCTTTTATTGATGTATCCCAAGACCCCTTCCCAGATTTCACAGGATTTATCCTCAAGTGTGGTCATGGCAGGTAAGGCCCTGACCAAGGTGCAATGGCACTGGCAGCAATCCCAGAAAAGCATCTCATGGTGCTGTGGGGAGAGAGAAAGGAGAAAGGGAAATCCATGAAAGTAGGAGATAAAAAGGAAAATTTGGCCATTCTTGAGTAAGAAATGATGCCAAAGCTCCTACAAGTCTCCATTTGGCCATTCTTAAGTAAGGGGTGATTACTTTGAGTAAGGGGTGATTACCCTAAAAATGCCCCCAGGTGAAGGAAAGGCTGCAGTGTGTGCACACATATTGTGAGAATCCAGTGAGGACTGACACACAAATACTCAGAAAAGCTTCAAATTCAGCTTCCAGTCAGCTGTGGGACTCAAATGTGCACAGAACCTTTGTGCTGATGAAGTGAGTGCTGCCAGTTGTGATCTCTGTTCTGCCTAATCTCTTCCTCTGCCTTATCATGCCTGCACACACACAAGAAGGGATCATCCCTGGCTTTGTTGTTGCATCTCAAGATGTGTTCCAAGTGTCCAACTCCTTCTGATCCCTGCAGTTGTGTCAATGGGCTCAGCTGATCATCGACTGAACCTGGCAGAGATCCTTTCCCAGAACTATGGTGTGAGGGAAGAAAGGGAGGAAGATGATGCTCAGGAGAAGCAGAAATCTTTAGAAGAGCTGGAGAAGAGTTTCAGTGCCTCTCAGGTAAAGGCAGCAGGGGAGGGGAAGGGAAATTACCTGGAGGATTTGGTTGTTTGCTGTGTGAAGCTGGGGGTGGTCCCAGGGAGACCTGAGTGGAACACAAACTGTTCTTGATGACAGGGAGTGTCTCTTCAGGCCAGGTACAGGGATTTGCTGCTCCCCTTCCTCTGCTTGAATACACTTGTGCTGTCTGGCACTTGTTTGAAATCTAGAATAAAAGATAAAGATATTTTAAAAATGCTTTGGGGTGAAATGGGACGGTGTTCACAGGGGTCTTATGTTGAAGGAAGAGATGAGGCTCTGACTCCGGGTTTCAGAAGGCTTGATTTATTATTTTATGATATGTATTACATTAAAACTGTACTAAAAGAATAGAAGAAAAGATTTTCATCAGAAGGCTGGCTAAACTAAGAATAGAAGGGAATGATAACAAAGGTTTGTGGCTTGGACAGAGAGTCTGAACCAGCTGACTGTGAATGGGCATTAATTACAAACAACCACATGAGGCCAATTACAGACCCACCTGTTGCATTCCACAGCAGCAGATAATCATTGTTTACATTTTGTTCCTGAGGCTTCTCAGCTTCTCAGGAGGAAAAAATCCTAAGGAAAGGATTTTTCATAAAAAGATGTCTGCGACAGTGAAAGTTCCTGGCTTTTCCATGCCTTTGAGAGGCACAGGTTACACTGGGTCCCAGCAGTGCCACCTGAAGCTGCTCAGAGCCCCCAGAGGAGCTGAGCTGCCCTGTCTGTGTCCCAGCTGCTGTGCTGCTCTTGTGGTTGTTCTCTTCCTGATGCAGCTTTGTCCTCCTCTTGCTCAGAGCAGTGAAATGCCATTTGAGGAGCTGCTTGCACTGTATGGCTATGAGGCATCAGATCCCATCTCGGAGCAGGACAGTGAGAGCAATGACATCACTCCCAACCTCCCTGACATGACTCTGGATAAGGTGAGAGCAGCTCTCTGCCTGGTGCCTGCACATGGGGTTAAGATTCCTCCCATTTCAGAGGGGTTTGAAGGGGCCTGCCGTGTTCTGGGGAGCACCAGGTGCAGAAACAGGAGTGTGAAGTGTTTAGAGAAGAAGGGACAAAGGATATCTGTTACAAAATGTAGAAACTCTGTATGGAGCATTGGTTACAAGTATTTGTACATTGATGGGGGTGTGTCAAGAGCCAGGGAAAATTTGTATCTTCCCCTTGTTCTAGCTGGAGTCTGTAGAAAGTGGGGTTTTTTGGAGAGGGTTGGGGTTTTTTTTTCTTTCTTCCTCCTTCAGGATTTTTGAGTTGTTTGCTGTGAGTGCAGCTCTACAGAAGGGGATGCTTGCTCATACTGTCTGCCTTCCTGGAAGCCACTGATGACACTTGTTAAAGTGCTTCTAGGGAAAATAATCTGGGTGTGGTGGGAGTGTGAGAGAGAATCTGTCTTTGGACAAGCTGTGGGAGGGTGAAGAGCTCTGTGGATGTGACCAATGCTGGCCAAAAAATGCTTTTACTCTAGTCCTCACTCCCTCTCTTATATTTTTTTTTTAATTTAAAAATATTTTTCACTTTCTTGTTGTTGTTAAAAGGAACAAATAGCGAAGGATTTGCTTTCAGGGGAAGAAGAGGAGGAGACACAATCCTCAGCTGACGATCTGACTCCATCCGTCACGTCCCACGATGCTTCGGACTTATTCCCAAACCAGCCTGGCTGTATGTGTCACTAGTTCCTAAGTAGCTGCTGTTCACTTTTACATATGATGTGCAGGGGAGGGTGAGAATGCTCCTCTTAATTTTGTCAGTCTCCTGACATCAGATTTTCCACTTTTCCTCCTAGGGACTGTCTGCATGGCAGAGGCGTTACCGGGCTTTGGGTAGGACAGGACAGAGCGTTGATGAGCAGTGGGATGAGGGGAGAATTTGCTCAGAATACCCAGAGAGAGAGAGTGGGAATTGTTTTGCTGCCTGCTGTAATTGCAGTCTGAAAGATCAGTACCTCATCTGACACCTCTACAAGTGAATAAATTCAGTAGTAGTAATGGAGTGATGTGTTGTGGCAGTCCCTAAATGTTGGAATATGTGGGAAGCCAAAGCACGTGGCAGGGGCTCTGCATGAAGTGATGTTATTTCTTCTGCTGTCTTGCAATAATGAGGAGTCTGAGCTTCCCCAAGTTGGCCATCCATGTGGCAAGTGTCCAAATTCTTTTACTTAAAGTGAGAAAATTAAAATACAGGTAAGTTGTCATGGTAGACCATGCTGAAAGGGACTTTAGGACAGAAAATTAAGGGAAGGAGAGGGAATGTAAAGGAATAGAATAAAAAAATCCTAACTACAGATCTTTTCCTTTCCCACAAAGCAAACAACTTCCTTGCTGATGAAGACAAAGAGCCATGTTCATCACCATGTGCTTCCTCCATGGCTGAGGACTCAGAGGTGGATTCCATCCCATCCAATGAGTGTAAGAAGGTAAATGACCTGAGTGCATTGGGAAGGGGGACTCCTGAATTGGAAAAATGCATGACACGAAAGCACTGTGTTATTTCCCCAATTGCCTTGCATTTTGTGGGGGGCAGTAGCAGATGTGGGTGACAAGAGGGGTTTTTAATACAATCTTGAAATTATCTTCTGATAAGGGAAGTCTGTTGTGCCTTGGTAAATTAAATCTGCAGCCCTATAAAGGTGAAATACTGTGCAGTATTCCCAGCAGGATTTACTGAGGGGGAACCACCTTTCTAAAGAGAGGAGCAGGTTTCCAAATTCATCCTGGCTGTGAAGGTTGCAGGAGAACCTCTGCATTGCTTTATTTCCACCCTTAGCTGCTTGCCATAGATCCTTTCCATTAAAACTATGTAAATGCTGAAGGTCCCCACAGTATCATCTGCTTGGTAATAAATCTTCTTAGTTACCCTATAAAATAGTCAGGGTTCACCAGAAACAACAGTGACAGAGGGGGCTATCAGTAAATAAATCAGCCTTGTGGTCGTGTAGCCCCTAAATCATGAAGTACAGCTTTGTGTGGAGCATTTCCCATTTCAATTTTCTCACCTCTCTGTTGTGGGATTTCAGGAGATCATGGTTGGACCTCAGTACCAGGCCACTGTTCCCATCCTCCGTTTGAACAGGCACAGGCAGAAAGGTAAGGCAGCCTCTCCTTTGTGCCTGGCTTGGGGTAGGGCTGCTGGCAGGGGGTTCTGATGGGCTCTGGATCTCCAGTCCTTGCTCTGGATCTCCAGGCTGGGCAGCTTTCAGTGCTCACATTGAGATTTACTGGCTGAAACAAGCCTGATCTAATAAGGATGGGAGCAGAGGGACAGAATTGGTGAACCTCACTGAGATCTGGGTTGGTGTGACAGGTTTGCAGGAGGGGATCTCAGCTGTTGCCAAAGAGAAGGAACACCCATCTGGGGATGCTCTGATTTATTCTGACATCTTCCTTAAGTAGTGAGCACCTCCAGTGATGATCTGTGTCTGATTTTGGGATGTCTGCAGAGTCGACAGAGGTGCCTTGATTTGCAGATTGTGTCCAATAATGAGTGCAGTATGAGTGCCAGCTTGTTGAGTTTCTGGACAAGAAAGCTAAAACAGTTTTTATTTGCCAGGACTAATTAATCAAAACAGCAATCTTTGAGAATATGATAACAAAAACTTTTGTCAGCCAACCTTTCTGAAACAATGGAAGCAGGCTGAGCCTGTGCCAAAGGCTCTAAAAGAGATATAAAGAGCTTATCTGCCTCCAAAATCAGGAGGGAACAGGTAGTGCCTTGAGAGATGTTTGTCATCTCTGGTGCCAAATTGGAGCAAAGATTTCCTCCCTCCTCTGTTTTCCCCATGCATGCCCGTGCAGACCACTTCTCAAAAAGCAGCAGAATTCTCTGTTTGATTATCTTATTTCAGTGCTTTTTCTGTTAGCCTATGAGAATGAAGATCAGCTGCTTTGGGACCCAAACATCCTCCCTGAGAGGGAGGTGGAAGAGTTCCTGTACCGAGCTGTGAAGCGCCAGTGGGACGAGCTGGCTGGCAGCAGCCTGCCTGAGGGAGAGGTGGTCAAAGACAACGAGCAGGTGAGCCCAGGGCTTCCTGCAGCCCACACAGACCCAGCAGGTGCTGGCCCAACAGTGCCACATTCCCTACAGAGGGCAGAATGAGGGCAAACTCCAGTGATCTGGTGGATAAGTGAAATATGGGTCTCCTTGAGCCAGATCTCATAACCTTTTTGAGATTTATTTCACACCCAAGATAGCTCAGCTACTTTAGAAAGCATAAAATCAGCAGGATGGCTTCAGTGGTAGTGTTGGAAGCAAAAAGGCTTTAATAAAAGGCAAATTAACAGAACTCTTTACAGAGAAAAACCAAGCCAGGACAAGACATTCCTGCTCCTGGTAAAACTCCTCACAAAAGCCATTAGTTTCTTTGTTCTCTTCTTTTTCTAGTTAGGTGGGACGTTTTGGCTTCTGTCCAGTTGAAGTGAAGTCCCCCAAGTCCTATAAGATGTCTTTCCACCTAATTGAGGAGAGAAACTTCTGAGCTTATTTCCTTTTTAAGAGGACAAAGGATAGTTTTGTCACTCCATCAACAAGGGGCACATTCCTGTAAGGGTGTGTGCCCAGCTGTGCTCTGGGGAGATTGGTTACCCTCCCATTGGGAAGACTGGGACAAAGTCAGCAGATCAACCATTTCAGAGCAGCTGTGTTTGCTTCAAGGTAGCCAGGTTAGATTCTGGTGGGATTGCATCTCTTGAGTGCCCAGATTTGTTACCCAATGCCTTAAAAAGTGGGGTAATCTCTGCTGATGGTCAAGGTGGGGTTAGCAGCAAGGTGGCTCCTGGGAAATGGAAATTTTACAAGACAAATGTGAGTCATGAGCGGGCTGGTTTGTGGTGTGGTGCTCAGGTAGGTGCTGGGAGTGATTTCCTTCTGTTCCCTAGGCTTTGTATGAGCTGGTGAAATGCAACTTCAATGCAGAAGAGGCACTGAGGAGGTTACGGTTCAACGTGAAGGTTATCAGAGGTGAGGACCCCCCTTTTTTGGCTTCATTATGGCACCTAAAACACGTTCTAGATTCTGCACATCTCCCCCAACTCTTTGTTTCCATCTCCCCCAAGTCTTCCTTCCTTTCCATCTCCCCCAAGTCTTCCTTCCTTTCCATCTCCCCCAACTCTTCCTTTCTTTCCATCTCCCCCAACTCTTCCTTTCTTTCCATCTCCCCCAACTCTTCCTTTCTTTCCATCTCCCCCAACTCTTTCTTTCCATCTCCCCCAATTCTTCTTTTCTGTTACAGATGAGCTTTGTGCCTGGAGCGAGGAAGAATGTAGAAATTTTGAGCATGGCTTTAGGGTCCATGGGAAAAACTTTCACCTTATCCAAGCCAACAAGGTAAGGCTGCTCCCCCCAGGTGAGGAGCAGGGGAAGGAGGAAGGTGCTTGGGCACCACAGGTGTGTTTTGGGCCTGGGCTGACACAGGGAGTTCAGGATGGCCGAGTTCCAATCCCAGGCTTTGTGTTGACTCATGCCAGCAGGTGATGGGCTGTTCACTGCCCTGCTCTGCCTTATTTTCCAGGTGGGAGAAGTCACAAACACCACTGACCTGCATGAGTGATGTCAGTTAATTACTGATTAGCCCTTTCTGGAGTCTCAAAAGTTCTTTCCAAACTCTCAGCCCTTGCAGTACTTCTGTGAATGAGTGAGTTGAGCATGTGGATGTTTCGTAAAGTCCCCTGGGGTCCTCTAGAATGGCAGATGCTGTTGTAGGGAGAGCTGGGCCCCGGGACATGCTGCTGTGCTGGGAGTTGGCAGAACCAGAGAGTCCAGTTCTACCACTGGTTAATTGTAGGCATGTTGACGCTGGCCAGTGCCAATGGATGCAGGTTTGCTCTCTCTGCTAAGTGTGCTGCTGCTGGAAGCACAGGAAAGTCCTGCACGAGTGTGTGTGGCCCACAGGGGTCTGTGCCAGCAGCTGTGTGCTGTGGGGAGTTCCTTTCTCTTGGCCACCTCGGAAACCTCAGTACGTGCTTCTGTTCTGCAGCCATGTGTCCATAGCAATGTAAATCACTGTAATGCACTTCTAACTTTCCGTGCTGGTTAAATGGGAATTTAGCTCCTTGCTCCAGGAGATGCAAGGGATGAGGGTGAGCTGTCCTGACTGGGGTGTTTCTCCTCAGGTCCGCACGCGGTCGGTGGGCGAGTGCGTGGAGTATTATTACATGTGGAAAAAATCAGAACGTTATGACTACTTCACTCAGCAGACTCGTCTAGGAAGGAAGAAGTACGTCCTCCACCCTGGAGCCACGTGCGTGGAATATTCTCACACTAAAATTAGTAATGTTAACCTCCCCGTGAAGATTCCTGCTGCAAAGCACCTCCGCTTAACAGACTGCGCTTTCTTCTCCAGAAGGTTTCTGGGGTGGGAGGATGGAGGGATGCACGGGGTGTTCTCAGAGCACAAACACTCACTTGGTGTGGGGAGGGAAGATAAAAGAGCTCTGGACTTTCTCATCCTTTTCTGTGTGTCAAAAGTAGTTTTGTTCCAAGCACATCCACAAAAGGCTGGGGACAGGGATTCAGAGCTGACTTTGGTGAAAGAACTCTGCTTGATGAGGTTTTGGGAAGGGAGCTTTTTAAATTCAAAAATGCATTTATTTCTGGTGGTTTGGAACCTGAATTAATTTCCCTTTGAGGCAAATTCTTCCCTTTGAAATGTATGCTAATTACAGAAAGTACTTTTCAAAATACACCTTTTCAAAAAGGTTGAAACGGAAATCTCTTAATAGGTCAAAATGAAATATTGAAGCTGAATCAATTAAAAATATCAGATGAAGGCTTAGAATTTTTTTTTTAATTCTGATTCAACACAGGGAAATACCTGAAATCTTAAATCTTTCCAGGGTGGGAAAATATATTTCTCATCACTTGCTCTTTGCTGGCACGCTGAGGACCCACCGCAGTCATTGCATGAAACTGGGTGTTCCCACCCAAACTGGGTGTTTGTTCATGGATTTATTTCCCTTTGGAACAGGCTGAAGCTCACAGAACTGGGGGCAGAGCTCTTTAGGAAGCTGGAGAGTTCATTTTGGTTTATCATGGGCTGGTCTTGGCCACGCTGTTACCTGAGATCACCTCCTCAGGGCTCTGAGAGCAGGGAGGGATGGACATTCATTCCAGTGATGTCTCCACAATCCTGCTTTATTTGTCGATGGCTTTTAATCCCACTCACCCTTTCTCCTGCCTGCTCAGCACCTGGTGGCAAGGCTCTCTCTGTTTCCCCACAGGGATTTCACTGACAATGACCTGGATGGGGTTGAAGTGGAAAACACAAATCGTTCTCGGAGCTCCCCACCAATTCCCTCTGCAGCTGGCTGCCTGGATGCTCACTTTGGGCAGGATCAGATGGCAATTGAGAGCACAGGTAATTCCTTTCTGTCTCTCTGCCATGGGGTTTTGTTGTCAGCAGGAGTCTTGTTTGTCTCTGCATTGACCAGGGATGACTGTAAAACAGTTGCGGGCTTGGAGAGGTGGCCTAGATCATTCCCAAAACAAAAGGATCACCTGAATGAGCTGCTTGCAAAGCTCTGACACAAGCAGCTCCTCCAGAAGCTGGGTTAAGGCCCCAGAAGTGAGGTGCAAGCTGCTTTCACACAGAGCTGGCTGTGAGAAGATCTCCAGGGAGCCCCACATGGGTTCATTCCCTCACTGTCCTCCTGCAGATGAAAGCTTTGTGTGGGCAGCTCCCAGGGGTGGTTGGCACGAGGGGATGGGATTTAGGGTTTGGCTTATCTTGCAGTGTGTCTGTGAGGTTTCCTTTAATTTCCATAGAAACACTGATGGCCTCCCATCTGCTGTGGGCATCTTGCCTTCCCTCGGTGGGGGCTGGTGGGGGAATCTTGGTTGCTGTAACAAAGAAACACTTGTGCCACCTAACAAATACCATCTTGGGCATTGTGGACTCACTTTGAATTTGAGTTTCTTGTTCTTCTCTCTGTCCCCACCTGAGCAGAGCCCCTGAGCGTGGAGAGCACAGCCTGCAGCCTGGGCAGCATCAGTGAGTCAGGGCAGGGCTATGAATGCAGCACCCCCTCGGAGACAAACTGCTCCTTTGACCCCTCAGAGGAGACACCCTCAGGGGCTGTCCCTGTGCCCTGCCCACGTCACTCTGTCACCCCCTCCGAGCCCGAGCTCTTCGCTTTGCCACCTGCGGCACCAGGACTGGCAGAGAAGCAGGAAACGTTGCAGAACTCTGGTGAGACAATAACCATGGACTTCACTCTCCCTGCAGACATTAATGAGGGGTTGCCTTTAATTGCTGGAGCTGTGGATTTGGACAGAGACCCCGAGGCAGTGGTGGCCCCTGCTCAAGTGTCCTTATCGGTCACAGATTTCGGTCTCATCGGCATCGGAGATGTAAATACTTTCCTGACTGCTCACCAGGCTTGCCCAGCACCTGTGGCTCACTCAGAGCCTCTGTCACAGTGAAAGTCTCCAGTCACAAATTTGTCACAGACCCAGCAAGGACTTTGACCTGACTGAGTGAAATTCTGGAACTTCCACTGTCCTGTAGGGACAGTTTGGAGCTGTCGGTCGGAATCCGTCTTTCCATCCTCCTCGATCCAAGGCTACAGTGAAACCAAACACCTTTCTGCTCCAGTGTATCCTGACGCAGTTGTGCAAAGTGGTGGCTGGCTTTCCTGAGTGGGGAGGTCCCTCACCCCCCTCCTGTGCTGGCCATGTGTCACCCTGGGTGATGCCAGTCTGCTCAGACAGTCCCTGCCTCGGGATGGGGACGTGTCCCTTGGCCCCAGAGGGACAGTCTGAGGTGCTTTGAGAAGAGAGATGTGTCACCATCATGGTGAGGGTGCAGGCTGGGGGTCTGAGAGCCTGGGAGGGCTGCAGGGCAGTTTCCTGCAGAGATGGGCACGGTGATGCCAAGGGAGGCTGATCCTTCCTCCATGGGCAGCGTGCTGCAGAAGGAGCCACTCACCCTGTCCTCCTCCCAGCAGCCATGGACAGGACAGACACACAGCTGCTGATGGATGGAAACACTGCTGTGAGCAGTGAGTGTGGGGGTCATGCTGCTGACAAGTGCTTTGGATATGCTGGAGGGGGGAAAATAATCTAGGACATCTCCTATCACCTGTGCACAGCCCCTGGGACCACAGCAGGCTCAGGGAAGGGGTGGCCTGGCTGGCAGTGTCACCTTGAGTCCTGCCTGGGACACTATCCCAGGCTTTAGAGAGAGGAATGGGACAAGCTGGGCTTTAAGGACCATGACAGCAGCTGGGCTCTCATGCCAGGAGCTTTGGCAGCAGCCACATGTTCTGACTCTCCACCAAATGCAGGTGGGACATGGCCTGGCCCAGCCCTTGGGCAGAAATGTCAGGTTTTGGAAAGGGGATGCTGTGTGTGCAGCAGCATCGTGTGCACTCAAGTCCTTCTCACCTCCCTGTGCAGTGCTGGGCCAGGGAGAATTTCTGTGGGGAGGAACAGGAGGTTGTGGACTCAGAGTGATGCTGGCCAAGAGCTGCTGCTGCTGCTGGCAGGGGGTGACCTGATCTTGTCTGGGCTGATCAGCCAGAGGGTAGAATGCAGGTGAAAACATCTGTAACTTCCCAGTTTGTTCCAGCAGTTAGTCAGCAGAGGGATGAGGTTTGCTCAGCTCCCAGGGTGTCTGGGATGTGGGTGCCAGCACAGTCCCACAGCATCCCTGTGCCACAAAACAGGCTGTGCTGAGAGGAAAGTGTGTATTCTCTGCCATGGAAGGTGCCAGGTGCTGTGCAGAGCCCCAGGAGCCTGTCCTTGGCTGTGCTGGAGTCCAAAGCTGCTTCAGTTCCCAGGTGTGTTGCAGGGGTGGGGTTGGCCGTGGCTCAGTTGTTCCCATTCCCCTTTTCCCATGCAGGGAATTCTCTGCACTCACCTGCTGGATGAAGCTCTCACAAGAGCTGTGTTTCCTCCAGGTGTGCTCTGCAGCTGGGAAGGGGCTTGGGTTGAGTGTTTTGGTGGATTTGGGGCTGTGATTGTGCACTTGGCTCTGCTGCAGTGCATTTGGGAGGTACCTAAACCCAGGAGGCTGCATCCTCCTTTACCTGACTCTGGGAAGTTGTGCCCAGCCCTGCAGCAGGAGCAGGGAGACAGCATCAATGGGATGTCAGGATTGGAGCTTGTCTCACCTCCTAAGGCCCAGATGTGGTTTGTGTGCTTTGGCAGGGGTTTTCTTTGGTGCCCAGCTCTGTGCTGAGCCCCAGGCATGGCATGGCTTTGGCAGCCAGTGGTGCTGAGCAGGGGCCTCTCCCTCTCCTCTGCTGGGAACAGAGAGCAAACACGAGTGCCTGCTCCACAGGAACTGCCCAGGCTGTGATTCCCCTTCCCTGGGGGTGACAGGAGGCTCCTTGGCTGGAGGGAGAAGAGGAGGCAGGGTGAGAGCTCAGGCAGCCCTCCCAGGGAGGGCCAGGCCTTGGCATCTCCTCCACAGGCTGAGAACATTCTTACTTTTCCGGAAACCATTTTTTCTTTTGGTTTATTTCAAGCCCTAGTGAAAGGAGAGGGGAGCTGGCTGAGGCAGAAATCTCTCGATGTCCTTCAGTGTTGTTTACAGATTTGCATGGGGTCTTTCAACATGGGTGCAGCGCTTTTTCCACGTAACTTTGAGGGAGAGGGGTGAGAAAGGCTGGGACAGGGAGGGGGTTTGGTTCTGGTTGGTTTGTTTTTTTTTTTTTTTGGGTTGGGGTTTTCTTTTCTCCTTCTTACAAAGCACATTCACTTTGAGCCGCTCCCAATGCTGGACTCTTTTCTCCCTTGCCCCCCAGCCCTACACTGTGAAGTGACACTGCCTTGAAGACCCCTCGCCGTTATTTATTTAATTAAAAGCCTAATTTGAAAGTGAGCCAGAAGTCTGTCTTCTTTTTAGAGGCCAAGATGCAACAGTCCAGTGTATAATGATGGCAAAACAAGAATAGATGTCCCTGCCTCTGCTGTCTGATCCTCTCCTGCCCTCCACAAGTGCTCTCCTCCAGGCAGGACAGGATTCCCTGTGCCAGGGATGCCATCCCAGCCTGGGAGGAGGCCCAAAGTTTTCCCTCCCTGTGCTGGAGCTGGAGGGAGCTGTTTGTTCCTCTCACAGGTCCCCCAAATGCCGGTGGCAGGTCTGGGGTGTTGAAATGCAGGGGTGCCTCCAAACTTCAACCAGAACAAGCTCCTGGAGGCAAGTGGAGTGTTCCTGCTGCAACTGCGTTGTGTTTTCCCACCACAGTCCCTCTGTTCCATCACAGACTCCTTAAATTCTCTTCTCTTGCTTGTGCCTGTCCTGAGGGCTCCAGCTCTGCCCAGGTACGAGGTGGGTACGAGATGGGCACAGCCCAGGGCAGGAGGGACAGGAGCGGGCTCCTCCCTTCTTTAAGGCCCCAATGAGCAGCGGGAACCGCGGGTTGGAGTTTGGCTGGGACCGCGGTCCCTCCGTGGCATCCTTCGGCCCCGAACGCTGGTTCCAGCCCTGTGTGACCCGAGGCGGTGAGAGCAGCAGGACCGGATCTCCGGGGCTCTAAAGACCACCGGGACAGGGTCCTGGCCGGATTCCGCAGTTCCCCAGGGCCCGGGCTGGATTCCGCAGCTCCGGGGCCCGGTTCGGGCTGGATTCTGCCGCCCCCCAGGCTCCGGGGCTGGGTTAGGCCTGGATTCCGAAGCCCTCCGGTATCCGAGGCAGGCTCCGGGCTGAATTCCGCATTTCTCCGGGATCCGGGGCAGATCCGGGCCGGTTCCGCCGCCCCCGGGCCCGGCTGCAGCGGCGGGACTCGGACAGCAGAGGGCGACACCGCGCCACGCCCGGGCCCGCCCGCGCCCCCCGGGACCCGCCCGGAGCCACCGGAGCCGCCCCGGCCCCGCGACACCCCCGGGACCGGCCCGGTCCCGCTCCGCTGTCACATCTGTGTCCCCACGGTGGCCCGGCCCGGAGCGTTTAATCTTCACATCCTCGACACGGCCTGGGCACCCCCCCAGCTCTCCTTCCTCGGGGCTCTCAGTTGTTTGCTCGGGGTCTGCAGCGTGTGTGGGGCAAATCCTGCCCCAGCAGTGTGCCAGCAACCCCGCGGCACCGAGGGAAGCTGCACCGGGGCACATGAGGGCAGGGGAAAGCTGTGACAGAGCCGCTCCGTGGTTCTGTTCCCTCTCCTGGAACTCGAGAGTATTCCCAGCTCTCTCGGCTTCCCACAAACAGCCTTGACATTCCGCGCAGGCCGCTCAGCCGCGCTTCAATCACCCGCATTATCAGCCATGGGTGGTTTCTGTGTTATTTGTTTCCTTCCCGACATCCGGCCTGGAGCAAACAGCCGGGATGCGGCAGTCCCTGCTCCCAGCGGGGAATTGCTGCGCTCCAGCCCTTGCTCCTGTCCCCGTTCTGGGTTTCAGCATGTCCCCAAACACAACGGGAAGCACCGGGAGCCCCCAGGACGTCGGAAACTCAGGAAATACAGCTCAATATCTCAGCGGCTAAATCAGCTCACTCTGTGTGCTCACCCCGGTGCGTGCTGCATCCACAGGCTCCTGGACATCCCTGCTTCCCCTCAGGAACCCATCTCGCCACCGAACCAAGCCGCTTTGTCCAAGATTGTCCCATCTGTACAGACCCCCGCCAGCGCACCCAGCGCATTTCAGGGGCAGAATTTTCCTTTTTGCCCCTTTTTTGTCTCCTCGGGACATAGCCCCGAGGCGGATGGGACTCGGGCAGATCCCGAAGCGGCCTCGCTCGCTTTCTTCTCCCCTTTCCCCTCGGTAGGGAGCCGGGCCAGGCGGGGTGGGCACCGGGGGGCTCCGGAGGGCCGAACAGCGGAACGGGAACGGAGGAACCGGCGGGGAGCGAGCGGGGTTTGGCTCCAGAGGGGTCCCTGCCCCACCGAGCCCCACACCTGCCCCGGGCCCGCCGCTGCCGCCCCGCCCCGGCCCTGGGCGGGGGCACCGGGCCCCGCCCCGCCCCGCCCCGCCCGGACTTTACCTCCCGGCCGGGCCCGCGCCGTTCCGGGCCATGTGAGGCGCGGGGCCGGGCCGCGGGGCCGCAGCGGCTGCGGGATGGAGCGCAGGAAGGTCTTCGTGGCGCTCGACGTGCTGTGCCTGGCGGTCGGTGAGGGCTCCGTGCCGGTGCTCTGCCCGCCGCGGGCGGCTCCGGAGCGGCTCCGGTGGGGCTGGGCTGGGGCCAGGTCCGCCGGGGGTACCGGGGCTCCGCGATGCCGCCGCGCTCTGCCCGGGGTCCGCCACCTGCCCGGCGGTATCCGGTGCTCCGGGCCTCCACCGGGACCCACCGGCGGTGCTGGCGCCTCCCGCCCTACCCCAACCGGGACCTTCCCGGTTCTCGGGGCTGTTCCCTTTTCCGGGAACGGTCCCAAAGGAGGGTGGGAGCCCGGTCTGTCGCTGTCCGGGACGATCCCTCGGCTCGGGCGGCACCGGGACGGCTCCGCCGCCGCCCTGGCCGCCTGCCCGCCGCCGAGCGCGGCGCTCCGCGGGGCCGGTGGGTGCGGAGCGCCCCTTTAGGACCCCCTCTGCTCCTTCCAGTGCCGGTAAATGTTTCTAAAAGTGCCGTGCAAGGAAGTAACGAATTAAGACGGACTAAAAATAAAGGCCCGGCTCGGGATCGCGGCTGGAGCTTCCCCGGCTGCGGGGCGGCGGCACAGGCCGGGTCCCGGTTTCCCCTCCCGTGGGCCGGCCGGTGCTTTATATTTTTAGGGGAGCTTTTTTTGGAGGATGAAATTATCCGGGAGGAAAATTGGTGTCTAATTTGAGCTGAAAATGGACGTCTGAGGTGTGCGGGGAGGGAGGAGGGACTGGGGCCGGTTCCGTGCTCCCGGCGGGGGTGGCGGGGCAGCCCCCGGTGCTTCATCCCCCGCGGTCCCTCCCGTTCGCTCGGTGGGAGCGGGGACGGGCGGGGACAAAGGTGCGGGCTCCCGGGAGACGGAGGAACAAGGGGAGGCGGAAACCACCGGGAAAGGCGGAACTGGGAGAGGAGCCCGGCCTAAGGTGGCCTCCGGGGAGGGGGGGGGGGCGCTTCCCTGGGGAGCGTCCTGCGCTCGTCCTTGGCTGTCCCTGAGCAGGGATGGGGCAGGGGCTGGCGCGCCTGATATGCCACACAGAGACCCCGAAACCCCTCTGGATCTCGGGGATTGTTCCATCCTGGGTGAGCTCACAGGAGATAGTTCTGTCCTGGCTGGGGCTCCAGCGTGCTGGGTGGAAAATCCTCCTTGTCCAGGCTGACCCAGCCAGCGCAGCCTCTCTGCAGAGCCCGCAGGAGTTGGGGGAGAGGAGAGGCTGACAGGAGGATGAGGGGAGCAAGCAGAGTGCAGTGGAGTCCTGTTGTGCCTGGACTGGGTCATGTTCAGCATCCCCCAGTGCTGCCTCTCCTGGAGCTGCTGTGGGACCATCTGGGGGCCCTTCCCTGCCATAAAACACGTTTACAAGACGCCTGCGCTCGTTAATTTTATCAGCTCTGTCTCCCCAGGCTGGGCAGTGTGAGGAGAGGGCACAGGCTCCGTTCTTGCCCCTGCTGTGCCTGGGGAGGAGCGGGGCAGCTCTGGGGGCTCCGTGGGTGCCCGTTTGTGGCTGTCCCCTGTGGTATCTGGGTGCTGCAGGCATCTGGGAGCTCTGATAGGGCCCTATCGCTCTCGGGGCAGCGCGCTGGTGGGTTCAGGTCCTGCTGCCCTGGGTACAGGTGGCTCAGCACTTCATCTTTGGGGGGATCCCTCCCTGGCATCGAGGAGCAGAGACTTAGGGGTGAGCAATGCGTGCTGGCTGCTGTCCCCAGCCCTCACCTCTGTGTGCCTTGCAGCGTCTCTGCCCTTCATCATCCTCACTCTGGTGAACTCCCCCTACAAGCGAGGCTTCTACTGCAACGATGACTCCATCCGCTACCCCTACAAGGCCGACACCATCACCCACGGCCTCATGGCCGGGGTCACCATCAGCTGCACTGTCATCATTGTAAGGAGCTGCCACCCCTTCCCTCCAGGACAGGGTCAGGTTGTATCTGGGGGCTCAGCAGAGCCTCCTCCAGAGCTCTGGATGGGCAGCAACACCCTCAGCTGAGCCCTGCTCTGGTTTGGAGTGGGAAGAGCCACATCCCATGGGATGGAGAGAGGGTCTGTGGGCTCCTGTGCACATGGATGCCAGGGTGGATGCTCTGCCACAGAGCCAGAGCATCCTGCACCCCTGGGAGCTGCTCATTGTGGCCGTGTTCACAGGGGTCTTAGGATGAGGGAAGAGATGAGGATCTGACTTTATGTTTTAGAAGGTTTGATTTAGTATTTTATGGTATATATTACATTAAAACTATACTAAAAGAATAGAAGAAAGGATTTCATCAGAAGGCTGGCTAAGAATAGAAAAAGAAAGAAGAATCATAACAAAGGCTTGTGGCTCAGACTCTGTCTGAGCCAGCTGACTCTGATTGGCCATTAATTAGAAACATCCAACATGGGCTAATCAAAGATCCACCTGTTGCATTCCACAGCAGCAGATAGTCATTGTTTACATTTTGTTCTTGAGGCTTCTCAGCTTCTCAGGAGGAAAAAATCCCAAGGAAAGGATTTTTCATAAAGATGTCTGTGACAGCTCGCAGCCCCCAGCCCTCACCTCTCCCCACTGCTCTCTGCAGATCTCATCAGGGGAGGCATACCTGGTCTACACCGAGCGTCTCTACTCCAAATCAGAGTACAACAATTACCTGGCTGCCCTCTACAAGGTGGTTGGCACCTTTCTCTTCGGGGGAGCCATCAGCCAGTCCCTGACTGACCTGGCCAAGTACATGATCGGCCGTCTGAGGCCAAACTTCCTGGCTGTGTGCAACCCTGACTGGTCCAAGGTGAACTGCTCCATCTATGTGCAGCTGGAGAACGTGTGCCAGGGGGAGAGCAGGAATGTCACCGAGTCCAGGTGAGCCAGGGTGACACAGGATGGGTCTCTTCCACCTGCACTGGCAGCCCCAGATGGGAATTGAGACTCTCCTGGTGCAGGGCAGAGCTTGTGGAGTGGGCAGGGGTCTTGTGGGGACCAGCTGGGGGCTCGCTTGTGGTGCTGTTCACAGGATGAGGGGAGAGATGAAAATGTTGAGTCCGTGTTTCATAAGGCTTGATTTTTATTTAATTTATTTGATTTTGATTTTTATTTATTTTATTATATATATTATATTAAAACTCTACTATATTATATATATAATTTAATATATACATATTATATATACATATATGTATATATTATATATATAATTTAATATATACATATTATATATACATATATGTATATATTATATATATAATATATATATGTATATATTATATATACATCTATAATAATATATACTATATATAATATAATATATAGTGTATAATATACGCTATGTTATATTGAAACTGTACTAAAAGGATAGAAGAAAGGATTTCATCAGAAGGCTAGCTAAGAATAGAATAGGAAAGAATGATAACAAAGACTTGTGACTGATTGAGGCAGTCTGGACAGCTGGGTTGTGATTGGCCATTAATTAGAAACAACCACATGAGACCAATCACAGATTTACCTGTTGCATTCTACAACAGCAGATAATCAATGTTTACATTTTGTTGCTGAGGCCTCTCAGCTTCTCAGGAGAAATAATCCTAAAGAAAGGATTTTTCAGCAGATATCATGGCTACACTCACTCATGGCCTCACCCTTCCCTTTTTGCCCCACAGATTGTCCTTCTACTCGGGACACTCCTCCTTTGGGATGTACTGCATGATGTTCCTGGCGGTGAGTGCTGTGCCATGGAGCCCCCGCATCTCCCACACCCCAAACCCCCCATCCCTGGGTGGCTGCTGACCCTGCCCTGGGTGAATCCTCCCTTCTCTGCCCCCCAGCTGTACGTGCAGGCCCGCCTGGTGGGGAAATGGGCCCGGCTGCTTCGTCCCACCATCCAGTTCCTCCTCATCGCCTTCGCCATCTACGTGGGCTACACGCGGGTGTCCGACTACAAGCACCACTGGAGCGACGTGCTGGTGGGGCTGCTGCAGGGGGCTCTCATTGCCGTCCTCATTGTGAGTGTCCCTCTGCAGCCTCCTGTCCCTCCTGCCTCTGGGAGCCCCTCAGGAACCCCAGCACACAGCAGGGGACACTCTCTGTGCCCTGAGGGTAGCCAGGCTGGTCACCTTTGCAGCAAAAGAGACACCAGGAGAGGACAAAAGGGCTGACTCTTAGCAGGGGTTAATCCAAATTGGGAGCTCCCACACCTCAGGGGGCTCCTGCTGAGCCTCCAGAGAGGTGCCAAGGTTGCATTTTAAAAGGAGATGGGAACATAAAGCAGATAACATTTACTGACCAATAAGAAAAATTAAGGTATGGATACTGGGAAATAGACATTTAGGTCAGTGTATGGGGTAACACTTGGGGGGCTGACCCCTGGCCTCTGAGTAATCATTTGATGTCCTGGAGGAAAGCTCTAGATGGAGGGGATGGGATGCTGAGTCAGGGAGAGAGCCAGGGTGGGATTTGGGGGTGATCTCAGCAAAGGGAAGGGATCACACTGGTAGAGGGAGGGGGTACATTTGGGAAAAATATGGGGATACAAAACCAAAACTATTACAAAGTATAAAAACACACTACAACGAGCTCATAAGCTCCTGCCTGGCCTGACCAAATGTCCCCAAACCATTTTTTTTTTCCAGGTTCACTACGTCTCTGACTTCTTCAAGCAGCGTCTGCCCCGGCAGTGCGAGGAGAAGGACCCGGAGCGCAAACCCAGCCTGCCCCTAACCCTGACTGACCCTGACCACAATCACTACAGCTACAGGGGAGCCCCGTGAGCCAGCCCTGCCCTTTGCCGTGCTCCTGGCTCTGGGCACAGCTGGCTCTGGGCACAGCTGGCTCTGGGCACAGCTGGCTCTGCCTTCACCATTGGCTCCGGTGCCTCTGGCTGGCACTGACACTGACACTGCACGGGTGGGACAGCCCTGCCTGCTCCCACGTGCCCATGGTGCTGCCAGCACCCTGCCCGTGGGGAGGGGATGTCCTCCCCCTCTGTGCACCTGAGTCACACCCCAAGGCTGCTGTCCCAGCCCTCTGTGAGGAGGGAGGGAGGGGAGGGTGGCACATGGGGGTGGATTTTGGATTTATTGGGCTGGCAGAGCGCAGGAGCAAACTCCTGGGGTGGGAAGGCTGAGCCTGCCTGGGCCCGGTGTGCGTTGTCCCTGTCAAATGATCCAGCCATACACAAGTACAAATCCTCACAGGCACAGAGGAAGCAGGAGGGCTAGCTGTAGTGTTTTGGAAAGGATTAAAGCAATCCAGAGCTCTTCTCTGCTCCATTGATTGCCTTTAAGAGCAGCCCTGCCCGCCAGCAGCTGCTGAGAGCAGAGGGTGCCTGGGCAGGCCCTTCCCTGGCTGTGCCCAATTCTGCAGTGCTGGGAGCCAGAGCTGTTTGCCCCCTGCCTGCTTCACGCCTGGCTTGGGCAAGGAGCTGCTGCTCCAGCCTTTGTCCCTCCTGCAGCTTCTGCTGATGCTTTAGGGTGTGTGGCGGGGCTAGGGGAGACATTTTCTGTGGTAAAGGAAAATAAAAATGGGGATGTGGAGCTGTCCAAATGTCCTGGGAAAGCGGGGGCAATGGGTACAGAGCAGTCCCATCACTGACACGTGGCTGCCTCCAGCACTGCAGTGCTGTGGGTCTCTTTTTAAAGTACATGCATTTTCATTATGATGTTGTTTTTAAATTAGATCATCCTTAAAGAATGTCTGTGTCAGGCCTGTTCTCTTTTTTTTCATGGATGCTCCCGGGCCTTGGAGTGGATGGGTTTAAGTGTTTGGCGTTTTTATTTCCTAGAGAAAGGTGTCTGAAGCCCCTCAGCTGTAGGTGGGTGTGATGGTGTTCACAGGGGTTCTTGGATGAGGGAAGGGATGAGGATGCGAACCCATGTTTAAGAAGGCTTGATTTATTATTTTATGAAATATATTACATTAAAACTATACTAAAAGAATAGAAGAAAAGGTTTCATCAGAAGGCTGGCTAAGAATAAAATAGCAAAGAATGATAACAAAGGCTTGTGAATTGGACAGAGAGTCCAAGCCAGCTGACTGTGATTGGCCATTAATTAGAAACAACCACATGAGACCAATCACAGATGCACCTGCTGCATTCCACAGCAGCAGATAACCATTGTTTACATTTTGTTCCTGAGGCCTCCCAGCTTCTCAGGAGGAAAAACCTTAGGAAAAGGATTTTTCATAAAAGATGTCTGTGACAGGAGGGAGCTCCTAGGGCTGCTAAGCCACTCTCCCAGTTGGGTTGGACCTTGAGCCAGGTGCTCCTTGCCTGTGAGATGTCACATTCACCATTCACAGGGGTTGTGCTGGAGCTGAAGAAGAGCTGTGGAAATCATGGGGCTCCAAGAGCCCATCCCAGCCAGATCCATCCTGGTGCTGTGTCTCTCCTTCAGCCCATGGGTCTGAAAAATGAGTCTGGACTCTTCACTTTTCGCTCTTGAGTTTGTTATTAATTCTTATCTATAAAACTTTCTTTCTGCCTAGCTGAGGTCTGCTCAGCAGGGCAGCCACAGGCACTCTCTGTGTTGTCCTTTTATACTACAAACTACACATAACATATTTACACTGAATTCCCAATACCCACCACCTGTGTTAGACAGTGCACTTCTACTCTAAACCAGTCCCAAAGTGCCAACATCACTGCAGAAAATGGAGAAGAAGAAGGAGGAGAAAGGATAGACATGCCCAGATCCCTCCATCTTGTCCCCATAACCCCCATACCAAAAATCCTAAAATCTACGTTTTTAATCTGTGATAATTTTATTATTCTACTATAATTATACTATAAACTTCTGTTACTTTCAGGTCCTCATACAAAGCTGGTAGCTTGCTCCAGGGGTCAAAATCAAATCCCCAGGTGCTCTGGGCTGCGTGCCAGGGTCTCTGAGCTCCCCGGCAGGGTTCTGGGCAACCCTGGGCACCCAGAGGGATGTGCTGAGCTCTGACAGTGCTGCCCTGATCCAGGAGCCTCCTGCACTCCCCAGCCCTGCGAGGGAGGAGGGAAGGGAAAGCAGGGAGAGGCTCTTGGAAAAAGTGACGCTGTGTGTGCCTGCAGCTCCTTGGCTGGGGGAGGCAGGGAGGGATTTGGGAGCTTGGAGCAGCTGCCCGGTGTCCCTCTGCCGCCCAGGGGCTGGGGACAGGTGACAGGGCCAGCCTGGGGGTCCTGGGCGCACAGGGAAGGAATGAGGGACAGAGAGGCAGCACCTGGAGGCCTGAGGGTGCCCCAGTCCCTTTGGGGTGCGATGGGCAGCGCCAGGGTCAGCTCTTGCCCACGCTGAGTGCAGCTCTGTCCTGCTGGGATCAGAGGGAGCCCCGGGCTGACTGCGTGCTGTTGCTGTGCTTGTGCAGTGTGGGTGACTCCAGTCTAGACAAGCCCTGATCAAAAACAACCTCCCTGCGTGCAGGGAACTCCCTTTCCCTGACGCTGCTTCTCTGTTTTCCTCCAGAGCTTTCTCCCCACCACCACCACCACTTCCCAGGGTCCTTCCCCCATCCCAGCCCTCCAGGCTGGTTCTTTAATGTCTGTCGGTGTGAAACAAAGCTGGAGGAAGCGCCAGGGTTTGCAAACAAAGCCCTGCAGAGGCTCAGCAGCTCCTGGAGGCACAGCCCAGGTTTGGGAGCTGCCTGCTTGATTTTTCCTTTGGTTTATTGTGGTGCCCAGCAACTGCCCCAGTTCCTGGCACTGCCTCGACAGCTCCCGTGCCCAGCCAGGAGCGTGCCTGCTCCCTTCCCTGCAGATCTGACTGCGCCCCTTGGATGCAGCTCTGGAAAAACCAGCCAGGCCACAATGCTGCAGTGTGTGGTGCTCCCAAGGGCAGGGCTGGCTCTGCATCCCCGGCTCGCAGCTGTGCCCTGCTCGGGGATGGGCTGAGACCTGACCAAACTCGTGGCATGCCAAGCCACATGTGAGAGCTGCAGGAGCTCCCAAACCCTGTCCAGGCACGGCTGCCCGCTCCAGGTGTGCGTGATGGTGTTCACAGGGGTGAGGGAAGAAATGAGGATCTCACTCCGCGTTTCAGAAGGCTTGATTTAGTATTTTATGATATATATATTACATTCAAACTATACTAAAAGAATTGAAGAAAGGATTTCATCAGAAGGCTAGCAAGGAATAGAAAGGAATGGAATGATAGTAAAAACTTGTGGCTGACCAGAGAGTCCGAGACAGCCGAACTAGGGAAAAGGAATGTTCCTCACTCAGGGTCACCACTTGTAGCAGTGTTCACAGGGGTCCCAGGATGAGGGAAGAGATGAGGATCTGACTCCATGTTTCAGAAGGCTTGATTTCTTATTTTATGATATATACGATATTAAAACTATACTAAAAGAATAGAAGAAAGGATTTCATCCGAAGGCTGGCTAAGAATAGAAAAGGAAAGAAGAAGAATCATAACAAAGGCTTGTGGCTCGGACTCTCTGTGATTGGCCATTAATCAGAAACAACCACATGAGACCAATCACAGATGCACCTGTTGCATTCCACAGCAGCAGATAATCATTGTTTACATTTTGTTCCTGAGGCTTCTCAGCTTCTCAGGAGGAAAAATCCTAAGGAAAGGATTTTCCATAAAAGATGCCTGCTCCAGGTGTGCTCCCTGGCCCGTCTCTGCAGGGACAGGGCTGCTGGCAAGGAGCCTGTGCTGGCTCCTCAGCCCCAGAGCTCCTGGGGAAGGCAGAGCAGGTCCCTGGTGAAATTTGGGATCCATCCTAGACCTGCTCAGTGCTGCTGCAGCTTCCTTCCCTTCCCTGGAGGGTCTGAGCTCCTGGAGAGGCTGGGTTGGGCTCCTGAGGAGCTGAGGGGAAGGGAAGCAGAGTCCAGGGCTGGGATGAGCCCTGAGTGCCTCTTTCCTGGTTCAAGGCTCCAGTTTGTCCAGTTTGACCCCCGCTGGATGGCTCAGAGCTGTCGGGAGCTCCGTCCATCCTGTTTGGCGAGTCCCAGGAAGCCCCTCTGGCGTTCGGGGTGAGCCCTGGGCAATGTGCTGAGCGTCCACCCTGCTCGGGGGGTGACTCAGGAGCTGCGGATGCAGCCGGGAAGGAATCCCTGCTTGTGCTGGGGCAGATCCTGCCGCGGGCTGAAGGCACGGCAGGGACCCGCTGAGAGCCGTCCCTGTTCCCCGGCAGCGTCAGCAGCTCCACACGCACACCCTGGGCTCTGCCAACGCGCCTCCCTTCCAAAATAAGCCGCTTCTGGCAGCACGCAGCCGGGATCTGGCTCGCAGCCCTGCTCTGGAGGGGGCCTGGAGCTGCCTCCCCCAACCTGCGCCTCCTGGCTGCTTCCCACCGTGCCACGCAGCATCCTCAGCATCCTCCCTCCTTCCCTCCCTCCCTTCTCCCTGGCACACGAGTTCCTCCTCGCTTTTTTGGCTCCTTTCCGCGGCTGAGAGAGGCGGGCGAAGGGGCTGAGCCGCTCTGTGCCTGCAGCAGCCTCCAGGAGCGGGCAGGAAGGATGTTACTCATCCCCCAAACATCCCCCAAACATCCCCCGAACATCCCCTGCCCTGGCCGGCCGCCACGGGCGATGCTGCGGCCACATGAGCCTGAGGTGGCCCCGGCTCGGGGATGTGCTGGGGGACAGCGATGCCATCGCGGCCTCGGGTGGGATTGGGCAGCCCCTTTTCCCCCCGGGGATGTGGGGGGGACATGGACCAGGACGGGCGGAGGTGGCAGCGCTGGCCCGTGGGGTTTGGGCGCTCAGAGCGATGGGGACACCAGGGATGGAGCCCGAGCTGGGGTCTCCGAGCGGCCACCGGCCAGGAACGGGCACGGTCCCGTCCCGCCGGGGCGGCAGGGGGCAGCAGGAGCCCGGCGGAGCCGCGAGCGGAGCCCCGGTGACCCGGGCGGAGGAACCCCCGGTACCCCC